CTTGACTATGCACTTTGACTGTAAAGCATGGTTACCATGAATGTGAGTTTATTCTTAACCTAAGCTCAAGGTTTAAGAAGAGTAGGAAACAGGAAGGGTTCATTTGTGTTTTAGCAGCATTTATTAGTGCTTATTATGTGTTAGGAACTGGAGAAACATAAACAAACATGACAAGATCTCTGGAAACACAAAGTTTAAAATAAATAAATTGAAGAAATAAATGGATAAGCTTTTATTTACACACACATACAGAATAGTGTATGTTGAAAAGATGGAAATGGTTCAGCAGAAGAGACTGATTCATTCTGTGGGTGAATGAAATTAAGGAGTGTTTCAAAGAGGGTGTCATGCATGCCTAGTATATAAAAAATGTAATAGGAATTTTCCAGGCAGACCATTTGGTTGGAGGCATTTGGCATCAGTAGACTTTTCCCTGTGAGGCAAATTGAGGGTACACAGTTAACTGTGAAACTGCTGACTTGATCAAGATTCCTATGTAGAATCCATGGGTAATTACAAGACTTCTGGGTCTCGTGAAACTCCGTGTTTAATTTGGTGAGTTTACTTCATACTGTGGGTGCTAAATTTATTTTCTGAAGTGTCTTCATTTCTCTTTCCTTATGAAAGATTTGAGACTCTGTGTGTTCTGATAGGAACAATAGATTTCTGTACTGAAAATCTCTACAATTAAATGGGCTCTTGCTGCCTTTCAGCAATTTCAGCTTTAAAGTGATTGAAGATGCTATTCGAGGCAACTGGGTATTCAGAGGGATTAAGGGACAATCTTTTCTTATTTTTATTTTATTTTTTATTATATGTACATGTAGGGTACAACGTTGATTTTCAAAAATTGTGTAGAAAGTGTGGGGTTAGATCAGTATTGTTAGCTTATTCATCATTACAATATGCAATTGATACAGGTTTTAGAAATCAACCAAATATGTTTAGTTTTCATGTGGGCAATTTTACTCATANTGTGGGTGCTAAATTTATTTTCTGAAGTGTCTTCATTTCTCTTTCCTTATGAAAGATTTGAAACTCTGTGTGTTCTGATAGGAACAATAGATTTCTGTACTGAAAATCTCTACAATTAAATGGGCTCTTGCTGGCTTTCAGCAATTTCAGCTTTAAAGTGATTGAAGATGCTATTCGAGGCAACTGTGTATTCAGAGGGATTAAGGGACAATCTTTTCTTATTTTTATTTTATTTTTTATTATATGTACATGTAGGATACAACGTTGATTTTCAAAAATTGTGTAGAAAGTGTGGGGTTAGATCAGTATTGTTAGCTTATTCATCATTACAATATGCAATTGATACAGGTTTTAGAAATCAACCAAATATGTTTAGTTTTCATGTGGGCAATTTTACTCATACACGCATGCTGAGTGAGTTGAGACTATTATTACCAGTGTGGTCTTACTGTATATAGATAGAAATAAAGATAGAGATAGAGATAGAGATAGAGAGAGAGATAGAGAGAGATACAGAGTATGTAGAAATAGATATACTATGTACATGTGTGATGTGTGTTGTAGGTCCTTCCACACACATATGTTCACTAAACCTTCAAGTGATCTTGGACAAGTTGTTTAATGTCTTAAAGTCTTAGTCTATCTGTCATCTTATGGAGGGTTGACAATAATTTATGTTCCTTACACTTAACAAGAATCCTCTAATGAGGATCACGTGGCATAATGATAATAGTCGACATGTATTGGGCACTTACCGTCTATGTCTAACTCCGTTCCAGGTGCTTTACGTGCATGATCTCACTTAATTCGCCCATCAACTCTATGAGGTAGATGCTGCTTTTGCCCCTGTCCTACAGATGAGGAAAACGAGGCACAGATTGATGGTGTGAACTGTGCAAGGCCTCTCAGCTGGTGAGTGGAGCAGCCAGGCATGGAATCCAGGCTCTCTGATGGCAGATCCTGTGTGCTTCACCACCAATCACAGTCTCCTGATTACGTGTCATCATGTTGTCAATGAAGAAACTCACTTTGGGTGTCATTTGTTGTCATTATAGCTATTATAGTCACTTTTAAAGATTACCAAAATATTTTTGATTACTAAAAAACTGTTTTTGATTTCTTTTGATAAAAGCAGGACTGCATCTCTCTCTTCTTTCCTTTCCATCCTTCCTTTATCTCTGGACTTAATATTTTCAATAATTTAGTTTACCATTTTATAGAATTATTTGATTTGAAATCCTGACTTAATTAAAATTACATGAAAGCCTTCTAAAATACATTACTCATAAGTCAACAGTATTTGGAAAAGGATATTTTACATGATGTAAACTGCTTGTTCTTTAATGTCTTCTTGAGCAAGTTTTCCTGCTCTTTCAGCAACCTATGTGTTTCCTTCATCGCAGCTTTCCTAGGACTGTAAGCTCTATGAGAGTGTCAGGAACGTCTGTTATGCTTACAAGTGTATGCCCCGGATTTGATACATACTACAATATTAAGAAGATAGTTTCCAGAGGAAGAAAAAAAGAGCCATTTAAAAGAAAGAAAAAATGAAAGGAACAAATAAATGGATGAATGATTGACAGCTACTTCTTGTTATTGTAACTGAGCCTCCCTCTTAAGCTGCTCAGGGATGGAAGTCAGTTAACCAAACCTGCTAACACTGTGTGTGTATAAACTACAAGCAAATAGGCACAAAGCAGTCTAAGGAGCTGCTTAGTAACTAGTAACTTTAACTTGTTTAGATCCTTTTTATTAATATTATTTCTCTTAAATGGTTACTGATAAGAAAGTAAATTCCAGATAAATGTAGTCTGCTGCATGTAATTAAGTCTATTACTAATAGATTCTATTTCTGAATGGCTTTCTAAGTGTAGACACTGTCTTAAATTCTCTGTACACAGTATTTCATTTAATCTTTAAAAATTTTCAATTAATTGAGTCTATTATTATTCTCATTTTATACATAATGAGAACCACCTGTGATCACAGAGTATGGAAGTGGCGAAGCAGAGAGAAATGGCAATTAGAGTGCCTCATGACAGCTTTTGTTGGTGGTGTGCACAGTCTTAATTCTTTTAGGCCTCAGTGATTCTAAGCACGAGAAGGTTGCATCAGGGTGATACAGAAAAAGCCTAGGCTGATGTTCCTGCCTTAACGTGTAGTTTGGTGGGACAGCATGTGAAGCAATATTTCTTCATAGCTTTTAACTTGAGTGCTGCATTGTGCTGCTCTGTAGTTAGGTGTAGAACAAAGAATTGGATCAGTTTGAAGTAGGTGAGGGATGAGTAAAGCTTTGAAGAGTGAATAGGGCTTGGAATGATTACGAGCAGACAAAAGAAAAATTCCCTTTTAAAAAAAGCAAGAATATCTGCTTAACTCTAGCCAGTATTTGAATTTGGTATTCTCATCTCATCAGAATATTGTCTCTAAAATCAGAAACAAAACTTTCCATTTGTACTAAAGCTCAGATACTCAAGACACAATGTCACACCAAGATTTCTCCTTAGTTTCTACATCTTTAGTTTCCAAAACTGACATAAGGAGTGTTTGATTTTGTTTTCAGGTGAGTGGATGGATCTGTGAGAGGCAGGTGACTTGAAAAATGTGATTTGATAAAACTAAACTTCACTGTGACTGAATTTGTGTTCCTGGGGCTCTCATCTGAGCCAAACATGCAG